TGTAATTTTATACCAGGACTCCACTGTAAAATTATTGCTGCCTAAAGTATTCCGTGACTTTAACATTCTGGGGAAATTAACTAGCAAAATGTAACTTTTATGACTATCACTAAACACTTTAGAAAATGGTTTAAAATATGTACTGTAGAGAAACAGATGCAATTATAACTACTCTTTATTTCGAAGAAGCCAACTGTCTTAACTAAATTGCAGCTACGGAAATAATCCTAATTTGATTGATTTTTTAAAAATCTGAATAACAGCCTGAAAGCAAATGCGTTTTCATTATTTGCAGTGTGCTAATTTTATAGATTACAGCGCTGTATTTTGCAGCACTTAAATTTAGAAAAAGAGCAACCTGTAAACTCTATTGAATGTATAGAATACTAAAAGAAAAAAAAACCTTAAAATTTGAATGCTGTAGTCAGAAAGGTTAACTATTGCTAAATATGCACTATAATTTGCTTGCTGAAATGCATTTGTTGAAAGAAAACGCTTCATGGAAAAAAAACATTTGTTATCCAAATTTAAATTAATTTCTGATTTATAGGAATTTAAGGAAGGTACAGCTTACTTCGATAGAGAATGCTAGGGATCCTTAGTGGCGCATGTTTGCCTACTTGCTAAGTCACTCATAAAGCTGTTACCCATGGTTGTATTATACGTACCTACTGATACTCGCTGGCTAGTTTAATTCAAGGGCCAACTACGTTAGATAATTGTGTCTAGCTTTGAATAAGTCTCGTTTTGTTGATTATAGTTTAGGTTCTTATTTCTTATTTTGAGTTAAAGCCAGAGTAGAGGTTTCCTGTAAGCCCGTAAAGCTGCCAACTGTTACTCTTACTTAAAAAGACTAAAATGGTAGTTTAATCTTTTTCGAGTCAACGTCTTACTTGTTTTGAACTCAGCGATAAGTCGCAACATAGTTCATTAGGTTCCTCGACGTTCATCTTAGATAAAGGGTGAGGAAACCTACAATATCTTAAAATGAAATATGCGTTTTGTACATTGAAGCACGTCTAAAAATGCTTGAAAGACTTTCCGAGCTTTTTCTAACTGTCTCTAATTTTTCAGCTATTAGAACCTTAACATAGCTGGCAATACCCAGATTTAGAAATAATGCATACATAATGTTACTATATAATCGGCTCGCTTCGGCATATTTTAAACGGCACAGTGTGAAGCTGGGTATTAAATGCTGCCAAATTAAGCAATAAGATGTATTATGGGAATTTAATGTCGATTAGGTATAATTGTTTTTATAAAATGAAATAACATCTTGGCACTTGAGCAAGAAGCATCTCAAAAAATTAATATCTGTCGGAAATTATAAAGGATGTTCCCATGATGAAAGCGTAAAGTTTCTTGAGCATTGTTGATATTCTCCTGAGCTTAGTCTAAACAAATAGATGTGATTTTACCTGCGATGATTTCGTTTGAAATCCTTTCAGTATAAAGCACGTTTCAGTAAAACGTTAAGAAGTAGCATTGTAGAAAACCTTTAAGACTTTTGAATATATGTTGTAGCAAAACTAACATGAATCCCATATAGGGCCAAGACAATAATGATGCTATAAAATATCCTACTAATAGAAAAAGCTAATACTTTTATGCTGATACTCGCTGGAAAATTTTGAAAGAAACGCAACAGAAAGTGATTATATCCACCACTGCAGAAACATTACAGTAAACTATACGTCTGCATTTATTAGCAACATGACAAGGATGAAATAATATATGGCTGCGATCGAAATTTGAATACATTATCATTTAGCAACGCAGCTAATCGACGACTGGGTCGCCATTTAAAAAAGGGTATTTCTCTCGCTTTTTTAGCGTGCCTTCGTGGTGTAGTGGTTCTGCACGCTGGGTCCGCGGTTCGATTACCGGCGAAGGCGGTTACTAATTTTTCATCTCTTCGGCTTCCAAAAAATTACCTAATGTCTCTACAGGTGCATTTATTCTATTGTGGTTTATGCGCTATCGAGGAGGTAGATTTAATTCAATCCAAAACGTTTAAATGAAATGCAAGAAAAATTGCGTATAATTTAATATTCCGTGAAAGGAAGTCATGTGGTGTACACATCAGATTTTTTTAATTCCATTTTCAGCAAAGGAAAACACTCCGGAACATGTTCTGTTAAATACGGTGTACTCATGGGTCGTAACAGCTTAGATACCTAATCTTCTTTACATTATCATGTACTGTTCTTTTTGAAATATTTATTCTGTCTGATAATTGCTAAACTGCATACCTTGCATTTTCAGAGATTATGTCCTTTGTTTGCAGAGGATGATTTGCCGGAGCAGACATCATATTCGAGGCTGAAATTTTCACTCTTAAACCTTTCAAAAAACTTTGAACATTGTCATAAGAAAAAGAACTTTTCCAACATACAGTACTAATTTTAGAAGTATGAATAGCACTTACTAGTACTCACTAGTAGGAACGGTATGACTAGCACTAGCCAAATAAAAGAGCAGAGAAATAAATTTTTGGAATCCACATTCTTAGAACTTCACTAAAACAAATTCTATGCCGCAGCATATTCTAGAATAATGCAATGTGCGCAGAAAAGACTGTAATTAAACCCCCGCTTCATTCTAGGTCACTACAAATCGTGACTAACAAAATAATTAGAAGAAGACTCTCTTCAATTTGAAAAACCGCAGAAATTTTCGGATGAGCCAATATATTCATACATCTCTGTACAGAGGAAAAAGGAGTGTAATTGCTTAGATCAATGGACTTCATTCCTACGTAATTTTGTAATACAAAACAAGGCTGTTTCAACAGGCCGGGATTCGTTTTCAAAAATACTACCATTGGATGGTGTGGATGTAATGAGAAATCTTGAAAGTAATAAAAGCTAGCTGGGCGAAAAACAGAAAAACGTAAACGAATAATTAGTTATTGCATTATCTTTATTGTAATTTGTTTTATGTTTTGAATAACATTTATATGCACCATAATTGTACTTTAGTGATAAAATTTAAAAATATATTTGAGTTTATAATTATGTCATGGTAATGAAATATACAACTATTTAAATAAATTACATATGTTTCTTTAATATTAATTTTGTTAATGGATTTAGTATTACATTTATTTAATTTTTAGAAATTCTAGCTTTTGCTCTAATTTAATCTCTTTAATTCAACAAAAAAATAAAAATTTATACAATTCATTATTTGAGCTTAGGTTGTCATTAGATCTGAAAAAGTAGTATTAAATGGCTCTAAAGTTACATAATTTTAGCACTTAGTATTGAGACAATTCGCAGCATATTTTAGTAAGCATTTTTTTCTGAGGAACGGTTTTCCATTAGCATAAAAAACGCATGTTTCGAAAAATGTATATTTAAATAATCTTTATCCTCTTACAAAAACGAATACGATATGCGCAAAACTTTAGCAATCGCTGGAAAAATTTCTTTCTTTCAAAGCTTTAGATTTCTTATGGTATTTGATGAGCTGTCATATAAACCTGCTGAAACTATTTTATACGTAGTACAATATTTACAGTGCTACAGCTTTTTATGCATTTTATGGAAGAATGGCAGTCCATTGCTTTATACAGCATTCTATTTCTGAATGTTTACAGATATATACGCTCGGTGTATGTACATATATTTTCAGCTCGTACATTCTTTTAAGAGTACATCATTATTCAAATAAATATTCTTAAAACATTTCAAAGGCGGGATTTCTCTTACAAGATATTTACATTTTGCTTTAAATAAATCTGCAAATCACATTCAACAAAGGTTTGTGAACTTGAATAGCACTACACAAGTACTTTTGTATTAACTAAATGATAAAGCATTACCATGGAATTTCACTTACTTATGGTTTTTAAATAGGAATTTAATTAATTATATACTAAATGATTTTAAGTTAAAACAAATTTGTTAATTAATTTAATGAGAATCTGAATAATAAGATAAAATTTCCGCCTGAAAATAAAGAATTAACGTTTTGCAAGTTCAATGTCTTTCGCCGAGTGGGTCCAAAAGTAAACTTTCAGTTTTGAGCACTGAAAAATCTGCTTCTTGACCGCTGGGCGAATTGCTTGTTTTTACGTAGAAACTAATTTTAATTGTAAAAATGGTTTTCAAAGTGTTTTTAACTTAGCGTTTTATGTTTTTCTGCATTTCACAATTTTTAATGAAGATGTTTTGAGTTTTTATGTATTTTTGCCTAATCCGAGGTCAGAATTGAATTATTGGTTGCTGTCTTGTTCATATTATGTTGAACAATGGTTGCCAGAGTCTACTTCAAAGAGAGGTTGGACTTCTATTTTTCACCGCCAATTTTCAGAGTGCACCCCGGGGGGGGAATCTCCCCTTCCACCAATCCCTCTCTCCTTCCACCAGTCTACACGAGAGGACTTTCGACTCCCCGCATATTTAGCTTGCCTCCATCCCGCATTGACACTATACATTTACAAATACCCCTGTCTTCTCCGGGATTCGAACTCGGACCCTTTGGCACGGTAGTAGGCTCCCCTAACCACTACACCCTCTGGGCGATGGTGAATTAATTGAATGAGAAATATACATGTGAATGAAATTCGAGGAAATAAGTTTAAATGAAATGCAGCCAAAATTATGTATAATACAATAGTCCACACAAGGAAGCCATGTGATGATCACATCATACTTTTTTTATTTTGGAACACCAGTTCAATACCTCTGCTGGCGAGCTGATAAGCAAAAATATAATATGCTATGTTCGTGGATATGTCCTTCGTGTAAGCATATAAATTTATACATCATAAGGAAAGAAAATATTGGAAGATACCTTAAATAGACAAACATTTTAAGAACTTAAGATGTAAAATTTCCATGAATGAGAATTTTGACTTAATTTTTATAAATGGGAGTGTACAAAATCATGAATAATATAAGAAATAACAGTATTGTTATTTGATAATGTATTTTGAGATTACAATACAGAGAAAAAATATTTCTGTATTTAATTAAGACTTTTATTTTTAGCTGGACCGAAGCTGGCCAGTTTTGCTTTTAGGGATAATCTACATGAAGGAATGAGGACAGCAGTTACATGCATAGTTCTTGCAGGAGATGGACCTCTCACAACAAGATGGTTGAAAGATGACAGGCCAATCACAGAGCACGAATTAAATGTTAATATTCTCCAAGAAGATGACGGATTTATTTCTACACTAACCTTTAAGAATCTGACTTACAAACACAATGGAAATTACACGTGCATTTCTACTAATGATGTCGCCTCTGGTTCATACAGCGCAACCCTCACTGTAAAAGGTATGCCTTTGCATTTGTTTTGAATGATTTATAGTTTTCAACAAATTCTCTAAGTTGAGGATGCATTTATTTAAATAAGTTGTACCTATTTTCAGTGCTACTGTGCATTTTTTTATTTTGTTAGTGGTATAACTTACTTGTGTAAGCCTCGTGGTATACTTTGTGGAACACGAGGAGTTAAAATTAAATTTAACCCCCCAACCAAAACAAATGTGAAATTCAAAGGCACTGGAATGAAGTTTTGTAATCTTAATGAATGCTGATGCATTGTGTAGCGCAAATTTTAATTAAAAAAGGCAACTTTTCAGATTATTCCTTTGGAATTAATTAGTTGTATCAATTTCACGGAATGGAATCTTGAAGGTAATGAAATGTACTTTAGATTTAAGAATGGTACTTTGATACTTTGTTGGTTATTCTTTCATGCAGCGGGAGATGCATTACTCCTGCTCATTCCAAACTCCTGAATGATTCCCTTAAGGATCTTGACGTATGTAAAAGCCCAAATATGAAGCTTTTTCAGTTCAGATAGCCTTGCAAAAGAAAAAGAGAAGTGAAGCCCTGAGCTACGGTGATCAGCAAGCCATGTCTGGGGCAGCTTCAAAAGGACAGGGAAGATTTAAAAATCTGAAATTCTAGAATATCTATTTTATTCTCTTAATCCATAAAAGTGGTTCGTAAAATCTTCGAAGATGAAAATGATTATCGGTTAAAAATTATACATTGAAGTAATTTAAACTACTAAAGAATTATTAAACCCAGATTATCAAGAAAAGCATAAAAATGACGTCTACCAACATGTTCCAGAGAATTTTAATTATGACAGAGTTCTCAAAATCGAACATAAAATTTCAACGCGGGTTTAGAGACAGCTTTATTAGATCAATTTTTTTTAAACTATAGGTCACGATCCAAAATGGGTAGCAAATCGAAATTTGGGGCTCACGAGAATTCAGTTCGGTAGTTGAATTTAAAGAAACTGCGTTCATAAGACTTTTAAAGAAATTAACTTAATGAGATTAGACTTACAAAGACATTACATTAATTGATATTAATCAGATTAATCACCTGTTATATAAAGTGCAAAAGAATGTGTAAAGATAATATAGTGATTCAAACCTAAAACTGTTGTTTACACAAAAATCCTTGATGAATTCTGATTGGAGTTAGAACTAGATTTCTCATTATTTCCGAAATGGCATTAAACTTTCTTCTCTCATTCAGAACCATATATTTTTATAAAACTACTTTTTCAGCTTCAGCGCTATTTAAAACCAGATATCGTTCAATGTTGAAACATGCTGAAAATGTTTTATGTCCAGCACTATCAAATATCGCACCGACATTTTATTTGCTATGCAGTGGAAATTTTAAAGGAAGAAATATTTATCGATTTGAACGAAACAGAGAAGTTAGTAATTTAGGTAAAATTTAACATCTTTAATTAAAATGGTGGCTTTTTTAATTTGGTTAGTGTTTGAGTAAATTTTAACTTTTTCCATAAAAAGGACATTATTTTTTTAATTGAAAACGTTCAGAGAAAGTAAACAATAAGATACAAGTTGATGAGCATGATTTTTGCTATTTTAACTCATAATTGAGCTGTTTTACTATTGAAAATAACTATCAAATACGTTTTCTAATTTTTTTATTTGAAATGGTCTTATTCAATATATAGAAGACTTATTAAAGTAAATAAAATAATGCAAGCAGTATACATTATCTTTTACTAATGTATCATTTTTAACAATCTTAAACATTATTTTGATATTTATTTGCTGCTAAAAAGAAATTAAATATAATTTATTAATTGTAAAATGCCCTTATTAGAATCTATAATTATAATAGTAATAATAATAACGCAGTTTCACATGGACATTTTTCAGCGAATTTTAAATAGTTAATGCTATGGCATAACTCTTCAAAAACACTTTATTGTGATATTTTCTGTCAATAAATATGTTCTATTTTTACTTAGTTCCTCCTCGCTGGATTCTGGAACCCAGCGACATAGCAACCGTCGCTGGACGACCTGCAAGAATCGACTGCCAAGCGGATGGTGTACCACAACCTCACGTGCGATGGAAAATGGCCACAAGTAAGGGTGATTCTGCATTAATATATGCCTAAAACGTGTTTCTCTTTCGCTCCTTTGCGTTAACAGATTTTAGCGCCATCGCTGCGAAAGCGACTCAGATTGTTGCCGAGAATCTGATGTAGCTTTTAGAAAAACATTAAGAACGTAAGTTTCAAATTGTAGCAGAAACTCCTTCAATACACTGTAGTGCTTTTCATTTCCATATGAAGTGTATAATGGACGAAATTTCTGAGAAGTATGTAATACTTTCCCTAGACTGCTCACCAGTTTTCTCGGCATGATTATTCAGTTGAAAGATCCATTCACGCTGTTCGCTTTGAATGTTTGAATAGAATTTGCATTTATGCATTTAAAAGCAGAAACGCATTAGAGAGGAATCTTTAAATTTTAAAAGGCGTGTACTTGTTATGTTTAATACTCTGGATTCGTAAGCTTTATTTTTATCAGGAAATAAATTCTACTGCTTAATTATAAACACAAGAATAAACGTTTTGCAACGGTATTTTACTAGCTAAAAATCAGTGGATTTTAGTGAAGTAATAACATCGAAATAATGTGCATTTTTTATTCGCATCCATTCCGAAGATTCATGTGAAAATCTGCAGTAAATACGTATGTAATTTTATCTAGTTTACTTAAGTAAGATATATTTTGATTTTCTTATCATGCCAGATTAACATGGAGTCAAACGTTGGCTGCGCTGATATAAATCTCAATATCCAAAACCATATCTGGCCATGATAAGCTGTTCAAGACAAATACATGTGTAGTATGCATATACATATGCACACAGACATATATAAAATGAGAGAAAGAAAGAGAAACAATAAGTAAGAAATTTAGAACCAATTCCACAAAGTGGAATTTAACCATGAAGTGAAATTTAAAAATAGTAAATTTTAAAATTCTCTATAAATAAATAAAATCAGCCAAAATCGGAAAAAGTAAAGAAATGTGAAATACTAAAACTTCAAAATAAACAAACGCCACAAAAATATAAATACAAAGAAAGGAAGAGGAATGCAATAAAATCTGATATAACATTATCGAGGGGAGGTTCATCAGACTCCATTGAACTCCCCTTCCTATAAAAAAAAAACACTGCGTTTCTGTTATCCAAATTTAGCTGATGAATCATTCTAAATTATTTAATTACAACAGTTCACCCGAAAATTCTGAATCCCTCAAATAATTTAGCATGGTTCATCAGCTAATTTTGAATAATAGAAACGCAGAATTGCGAAGGGCGTTCGATTGAGTCTGATGTATCTCCTCTTGATAGCGTCATGTCAGATTTGATTGCATTCCTCTTCCTTTTTGTATGCGTATGTTTTTGTATTTTTGAAGTTTTACTATTTCACATTTCTTTAATTCTTCTTATTTTAGTTGATTTTACATATTTTTAGGGAATTTTAAAATCTACTCTTTTTGAATTTCACTTCATTTAGGTCTTTGTGTAATTGATTCTAAATTTCTTATTTTTTTGTCTATACTTATTAATTTTCAGCAGCGTCGTGCGCGGAAATAACTTGGGATAATTTTGTTTCAAATAAAAAATTGTGATTCTGTAATATATAATATATATATATATATATTCATATTTACATTAAGGGTATATAAATACCATATGAAATAATTATGTGTTTAATATATGTAATATGTAAGCTTTAATTAAGCAAAAATATACGTTTCAGTACAGTTGCAATCTACTTATGTTGCTAACGTGTTAAAAATATATGTTCATTCCAAATGCTATTAACGTTTGAAATTAATTTCGAAGTGAGGAATTTATTTATCACTACATCTTGTTATTGTTGGTGATATAAATACCACAAAAATACTACAGTGATTGCTGTATACTGCAAATTCTTAATAAATCACTAAATACCATTTTTCCTAGAAACTGGAATTTCACATTTAGTCGCGAATCGAGATTTCAAGGAATTTTAAACCATATTATTTATATCTTTATTGTTACTTCTACATTCGTCAGCTTCCACCAGGATGCAAATTAGTCAACGTACATAAGAAGATAGTTATTGATGTTAAAAGAGAGCTCTTGGTAATGACTGCTGTCCTACTAATTTCGCTGAGGTCTTTCATAAATCTCAATAATTTACTAAATTGGCTTTAGCCTTTTGCTAGGGTATTCGCTGGCATATTTAGAGGATCTGAATGAAAGCTTACTGTAGGACTTTGTCGTGGAATATGATACTTTAATTATTTTAAGTTTTACTTTGATCTGTGAAATCCTGCAAACAGAGATGACTCATTTTGCAGTACACGAGTAGTACAGTTGTTAAGTTGAAGTTATAATGAAAGGTGTAATTTAAACCTTCTCCCGTTCATAGTTATTTCATTAGAAGTCTAAGACGGGACGAGAGCTTGTCTAACTACCTACACGGAGCTAGAAATCAGTTTTGAAATACTCAAGCTAAAAGGTCTTTCTCCCGCCTTCTTAGCATGCCTTCGTGGTGTAGTACTCCTCACGCTCGATGCGTATTCAATAGGTCCGTGGTTCGAGTCCCGGCGAAGGCATTTCTAATTTTTCATCTTTCCTGTTTCCAAATAACCTAATGTCTCTACAGTGGGGCACGAACTAAAACGGGTGGTGAATTCTTCGCCACCAGGATTAGGCGGTTGGGTCCCTTAAACCCCATTCGCCTTTTACAAAGGGGAGTACATAAGGTACTTCTCGTGTGTAGTGCTCAGCGCGCTCGACGCGAATTCGAGGTTCCGTGGTTCGAGTCCCGGCGAGGGCATTGCTTATTTTCCACGATTTCTGCTTCAAAGTAATCTAATGTCTCTACAGTGGTGCACGAACTAAAAACGGTGGTTGATGATGATTCTCCACCACCAGGATTTGGCAATTGGGTCCCCTAATCTCCAGTCGCCCTTTGAAAGTGGGAGTACATAAGGTATTTCTCATGCCTTCCTTGATCTTCGCAATTGAAAATATTAGAGCCATATTTATCACGAACATTCTCTTTCTTATACGGAACTGAGTTCCCCTTCTTTCCTGAAATTTTTGTGCTTCCGTATGCACCTGTGTAAACACATTCGAATGACTAAACTGAACACATAGCAATATTTGAATCCAAGGTTTCTTGGATTCAGATATTTCTTTGTGTTCCAAATATTGCTTCTTTCATTTCCACCAATTATACCCATTACGACGTCTTTTTAGCATCTGACTGAAGAGAGATTTTGAAAAATTTAATCATTTGAGTTTTAAATATTGTAAATCAAATATAATAGTATAGACATATGACTTCCTTTTTTTGCAGCATATAACTATATTTGGTGCGATATGCTATCATGCGCAGTGCGATCCTCACTCTATCTTTGCTGGCTGGAAACTAATGTCTGTTACAATTATAGGGATATTAGGTTATTTCGAAGTAGAGGGCATGAAAAATAAGCAATGCCCTCGACGCAACTCGAACCACGGACCTCTCGAATACACGACGAGCGTGCCGAGCATTGCACTACGAAGGCATGCTAAGAAGGCGAGAGATATATACTCCCTCTTTTAAAGGGCGACTGGGGATTAGAGGACCCAATCGCGAAATCCTGGAGGTGGAGAATCATCATCCACCACCCTGTTTAGTTCGGGGTCACTGTAGAGACATTGGGTTATTTCGAAGCAGGGAAGATGGAAAATGAGCAATGGCTTCGCAGGGACTTGAACCACGGACCTCTTGAATACGCACCGAGCATGCTGACCACTACGCCAAGAAGACATGCTAAGAAGGCGGGAGAAATAAAAATATGTATTAAAAATTCTTGTAAATAAAAAAAAAAGATTTTAATATATCTTATACTTCTATTAGCATTGCAGTGATCCTGAATTTTATATACGTATATGAATATAAGCGTATGATAAATACTTAGTAATAAAAGTTGCTACGTATGCATAATAATCTACATACTTAAACTTTGGCATTATAGAAATTTAATACTGTCATTTGTTATCTTGTGTTAATTAATTAATTAAGAATGCATTTTATGTGAGTTATAAATAATCCTGTGTTGAATTTTAGTTTTCTTTTTGAAATTAAAAGTTACATATGATTTCAGTATTAACGTAGGAAGCAATTTTCTTTCGGAATTTTCATGCATATAGAGCAAATGTAGCCTTAAAGTTATTAAAAAATTGTAAAACAGGTAAAAAGAAGTAGGAACAGCACTTCCTTAGATGAATTTATGAAAAATTAACTAAGTTGATTGAGTAATCTGTACAGCTGAGAATTTTAGATGTGTCAGATATTAATTTGAGGGAAGTTGTTTAATATTTTCAAATAACTTGCTGAAGTCCGTAAACTGTAAGATGGCTTACAAAAAATCAATTAAAAGACTTGAATTAATTTGGCCAAGGTAGTAATAATTTCCCAATTTTTTAAATATTTATCATTTTTAATTTTAAAAGTAATTAATTAATTTTTAAAAGATAAAAAGTACTTACTCTTGAGATGATTAGACGTCGTAAATTAAAGTGACTTTTATTTAGAAAAAATGTAATTAACCTTAAACTAGGAGAAATGGAAGCATAATTCACGCATATACAGTTCGCATATTTTTATACGACTTTGCTTTACTTTAAAAAACATATCACCTATTTGGAAATTGTTTTTAACTGCAACTATACTTTTGAAAATGTAAATTATCGTCTGCTACTCACAATTTTGTTTTCATGTAAAATGGCGCTTTTAAAGAAACAATGGACAGAAGGTTATGTTTGTGCTCTTTCCTAAGAAAATTATTCGCATCTAGGTATTACAAAATGCTGTGAAAGCCATGAGTTTTCGGTGTCTAAAGCATCGATAGATAATATTATCAATAAGAAAGGAAAGAAAAATCGTCAAATTTTAGCTTCAAGGAGTAAAATACTTCAAAAACCATATCCAAGATAAAAACATAATGTTTCGAATGTTGCAAAGGTAAGAAATTTAATGTGAAAAGAAAATCCGTGAAGTTAAATTACAGTTCCATAATATTTA